GGCAGTGGGGGTTCCCGCAGCAAAAGAGAGGGGAGTGCTAGCAGTGGTGAGTATTCCCTGAACCTTGAAATACTGGATTGAAAGACATCTAGTACATGGGCTTCCAGGAACATCCTGAAATGATCCAACAATGTCCTGTGTTTGTTTTATATACACATAGTAAAACCTCACTCTTCTAATTAATTTTGTAGCAGTCAGTCTGATATATAAATGAGTATTTGTAAATGTTAGTGGATTTTAGTTCTTAAATAGCCATACCTGTTTCTGCTACTTGATTAACAAATAAGTTCATGTTAGATAATCACAGATGTCCATACAAATGAGGTCTTACTGTGTTACATTTTTTTTAAGTTGCATTTTAAAGCCCTACCATGAGAACTAAGATGGTCTTACGGAATGCTGACAGTCCCAAGTTTTTATACGTTAGTGTAGAAATAGTGCCATTCCAGGAATCAGCAGACAGGTTCTAGTGCCAGTCTTGATCATGACAACCCTGTGTCTCTGGGCCAACCAGATGAATGCTGCAGGCTCCAGGGGATTTCTGAAGTTGTTTGTACCTCCAAGTTCCTTGACTCTGGCTGCTTGTGACATCATCACTTCCCAAGAAGGTGTTGTTTTCCTTCACTTTTTCCCATCAACAATATCTACCTTCTTTCTGTGTTTCAAGGGGCTAGTGTAAGTTAAACTTAGTAGAAATTTGGTGGTTTTAAAGAAACCAACTGGAAAAATAAATGCTAAATTAGGATCTATAAATACACTTACATTATCTCCTTTCCATGGCACTATCATGCATGTGTGACCTGGTCCATGTAACTACCCAGCCTCACTCTACCTTTTTGTGATGTAAAGTGGGGACAAAGAAATTGTAACCCATAGTTTAGGAAGGCCTCTTTGTCTTCATTTATAAACACTTGCTGGATGCATACTATGTGCCAGACAAACTCTATGCTAAGTACCAAGGACATAGGGATGCATAAGACATGCCCCTGCGCTCAAGGAAATGGGAATCTAGATGGAAAGACACACAAGTTGCTCATGTTGCTGAGAGTGCTGCCATGATAGAGAGAGGCACTTGTGTTTTCTAGATTTCCTAAGTATGAAACTGGGACAAATGTTCTTTCTTGAATTCAGAGCTCTGCTTTGCTAAGTATGTTGAGGCAGTTAGAATCATAAGTGACATCTATTTCTAGCAAGACAGCTCGATCCTCCAAGGATCAGTCCAGCTTTTCCAGCTGAACCTTATGACCCTGACCTGTTTACCTTTAGGTCACAGGAGCTGTTACCTAGAGCTTGAGAAATTCATAGAAGTGGCGCTGAGCCTGAGTCCCAAGAGTGCCCAGGGCAGTCCCACATCCAGGAGCAGCCGTTGCCTGTCTCACTAGCCTTCAGTGGTCAGGATGGACATTGACGTCTCCATACTGTCCCCCAGGCCTCTGAAAGGCCCTCACTTCTGTCACCCCACAACTCCTGCTCTAATGGATACATCTGACTGTCAGGGATTGGACCTAGCTGAGTCCTGGGGCTGAGAGATCTGTCCCAGCAGCAGTGCATAGGCCAGAAGCAGCTATGCAGGCCTGCAGCTTCTTACCTAAAGCCTCTGGAGCCAGGTGTGTTGTGGAGTTCAGCATTTTTTGGAGTTTAGAAAAGTAACATGGTGCATTAGCAATATTTCATGTAGTACCCATAGGAAGTACCTCATTGTCAAACATACTATTATTAATTCCATGAAACATTAATATTCATACTAAGAATGAATAATGGCTAAAAATAGTTTTATGTCAAGTCACGTTTTAGGCCCAAGAAGTTGACATATTGTTACCTGAAAACTTGCCTTTCAGAGCTCTTTAGAATTTATAAGTGTAAATGAGGGATCATGAACCTGTATATACCAAAAATGTCCTTAGCAGCCAAGAAATCAGCAGATAAGGCACTGCGCCTCAGTGGAAAGAGGCTCTGGAGGTTCCCCAAACCAGCTTGCTCTTTGCTCATCCTTGCACTTAAGAAGCAGGCCATCTGTGACATGAGCGTGTCTGAAGTTGTGTTGCTTTAAGAAGGGAAATATTCCCATAGGAAACACTTCATTACTTATTAAAATTCTAGGACCAGATTCACCATCTTCTAAGGACCCTGCACTTCCCTCTAAAAATCTCAAGCACAGAGTAACCAATCATTTCCTCCCAAAACAGTTCCAACAACCTTACATTAAATTCTCAGAGTCTTCCCTGGTAATCTGTAAACTTATGAAATGTCATCAGTGTTAACCCCTAAACCTGAGTTACCCAGATGTCTTCACTCTGAAAATCTACTTCAGAAATATCAGGACCTCCTAAAAATGCTGGGCCATGCCCTCAGACGTGATGGAGAGGCTGGTGCTGGACCTGAGCCCAGCAGACAGTGTCCTGAGTCCCAGCCCAATAAAGTCCCCATGCAGGTTCTGACACCTGCCTTCTGGGAGCATCAGAGGGCTTGGGGCATGCCTCAGGCCAGCAAGGCAGCAGGCCCTCCGAGGCGAAGAGCTCCTGCTGGCCTTTCCATCCTGAAGTCAGGCCATGCCTCGGAAGAAAATGAGCGCTCCAGCTGGGCCCAGGGCCTCCCCCACCATCAGGTCAGGTCAGGTCAGTGGAGAAAAGATATGTAGAAAAGGGGAGGCTGCCCCGGATCTGATAACTGGTGGAGGGAAGAGACACCTTTCTGCCGAAAACTCACCTCCTGCTCCTGGCCTTCCTCGCTGCTTCTGTTTCTTTTATTTTTTAAATCAATTTTCCTTTCTCTCATCCAGTCCTTTTCAGCCCAACACAAATAGTCAGTTCTAATCATAGGAAGTACCTCATTGTCAAACATACTATTATTAATTCCATGAAACATTAATATTCATACTAAGAATGAATAATGGCTAAAAATAGTTTTATGTCAAGTCACGTTTTAGGCCCAAGAAGTTGACATATTGTTACCTGAAAACTTGCCTTTCAGAGCTCTTTAGAATTTATAAGTGTAAATGAGGGATCATGAACCTGTATATACCAAAAATGTCCTTAGCAGCCAAGAAATCAGCAGATAAGGCACTGCGCCTCAGTGGAAAGAGGCTCTGGAGGTTCCCCAAACCAGCTTGCTCTTTGCTCATCCTTGCACTTAAGAAGCAGGCCATCTGTGACATGAGCGTGTCTGAAGTTGTGTTGCTTTAAGAAGGGAAATATTCCCATAGGAAACACTTCATTACTTATTAAAATTCTAGGACCAGATTCACCATCTTCTAAGGACCCTGCACTTCCCTCTAAAAATCTCAAGCACAGAGTAACCAATCATTTCCTCCCAAAACAGTTCCAACAACCTTACATTAAATTCTCAGAGTCTTCCCTGGTAATCTGTAAACTTATGAAATGTCATCAGTGTTAACCCCTAAACCTGAGTTACCCAGATGTCTTCACTCTGAAAATCTACTTCAGAAATATCAGGACCTCCTAAAAATGCTGGGCCATGCCCTCAGACGTGATGGAGAGGCTGGTGCTGGACCTGAGCCCAGCAGACAGTGTCCTGAGTCCCAGCCCAATAAAGTCCCCATGCAGGTTCTGACACCTGCCTTCTGGGAGCATCAGAGGGCTTGGGGCATGCCTCAGGCCAGCAAGGCAGCAGGCCCTCCGAGGCGAAGAGCTCCTGCTGGCCTTTCCATCCTGAAGTCAGGCCATGCCTCGGAAGAAAATGAGCGCTCCAGCTGGGCCCAGGGCCTCCCCCACCATCAGGTCAGGTCAGGTCAGTGGAGAAAAGATATGTAGAAAAGGGGAGGCTGCCCCGGATCTGATAACTGGTGGAGGGAAGAGACACCTTTCTGCCGAAAACTCACCTCCTGCTCCTGGCCTTCCTCGCTGCTTCTGTTTCTTTTATTTTTTAAATCAATTTTCCTTTCTCTCATCCAGTCCTTTTCAGCCCAACACAAATAGTCAGTTCTAATGTACAAATAAGCTTTATTCTCACACGAGGGAGTTTGAAGTAGGAACTCTACGTTACTGAGGCATTTTTGTAAGCTAGGTTTCATCGTGCTTGATTCTCTTGGCACAGATTTAAAGCACTAAGTAAGCAGTTCTTTCCAGGTACTTGCTTTCTTTCTTTCTTCCCCTGTCATTTGCCTTTGTGTTCCTTATGTCCTAACACCTTAAGTTGTGTATCATCCCAGACTTCTTTACTTCCTCCTGCAGCAGGAGTATGAATGCCTCTCTTAGAGACATTGCCGGTTCACACTTACACTTTCCCAAGAACCATGATTTCTGCCTCCTTTCTCCATCTCTTGACAGAGGTCACAGTGCAAGGCTGGCCTGGCTCTGAAGTCTGAATGGACCATACTTTCTCCTTCCTTCTGCCTTGCCAGGCCCCCCACCCAGAGCACCCTGTAGCACACTGTCAATGCATGCCCATCCTCACCAGCAATAATTCTGGAGGTAGTGTCCTTACGCATTCACCAAACATCATGTAGGATTCCCCCAGGAGAAGCCCCAGCCACTCCCATGTTTCACCTCTAACCTAGGAGACCCAGACATACATCTTAACATGGAAATGTTTGGCCTTTCTGTCTGGGTTAGATCCAGAGTTCAGATAGGGGAGAGGGACAATGTTTTATATGAATCCAAAGAAGGCCAGCCTTAAGCCAGTTTAAGTATAGTATTTTAAAATAAAAGTAGTGCTTACAACTAGATTTTTAAAATACTGCCAGGGAAAGAGGAGCATGGGGAACTTATATATCAGCATTATTCATTTATATAAAACAGCTATTCCTGAAATGCTTGAGGGCCCTTGAAAATTGTTCTTTTTTTTGTGGATCAGACTAGTTTCATTGCAGCCTTATTTTTGCTGTTAATTTAATGAACCTCAGCGCCCTTCCTCTTCAGTGGTTCTCAAATTGTAGCATGTATCAGAATCACCTAGAAAGCTTGTTAAAACAGACTGTATCATGCCTCATATCGAATTTACCGAACATCATAATTCCTCCAGGTGGTAAAGATACCTCGAGACAAGTGCTGGGCATAGAAGCCACAGGGCATAAATCTGCAAAGAAGT